GCCCCCCGGGGGGGCGGTCGCGGCGGCCCAGGCTCCCGGGGGGGGGCAGAGCCCCGCGCGGTCCCGCCCGCTCTCTCTGCTGCGCCCTGCGCCCCGCCTGGAGATCGGGACCCCAGTCCCCGGCGCCCCCTTGGCTGGCCCAGCGGCCGCGGCTGCGCCGCCCCGCCGCCCCCCGTGTGCCTCCACCCGGCCCGGCCCCGCAGCGCTCTCACCAGGCGGGGGCCCGGCCCCGCGCTCCGCACTCCCACCCCGCGGCGCCGCCTCCTGGCTCCGCGCCTCGCTCCCCGGCGAAGCCGCCCGCGCCGGGGCTCCGCGGCAGCCGCTCTGGCGGCCCTCCCTCCCTCGCTCCCGCGCCCTCCCCTCCTCCCCCTCCTCCTCCCACCCAGCCCGCCGCCCGCGGTCCGCCCCACACCCGGGCCGGCGGGCGGGCGCGCCCAGCAGCGCCGAGCCGCGGTCGCCCCCACGCGCGCTCATTCACCCAGCGCTGCCAATCAGCCGCGGCGGGCGCCTCGCTCTCAGCCTGGCGAGGGCAGTCACACACGCCCAGGGCGGCCCCGCACACACATCCACCCGCACGCCTTCCCCAGGAAACACACCGCGCGGGTCAGAGCGCGCGCACAGGCACATGCGCGCGCACACACGCGCACGCGGCAGCTGGCCCAGTAGGGCGCCCCAGGCAGGAAGAGCCACTCCGTTTGTTAAGCCCCGACCATAAGTCGAAGAATAAGAGACACCTCTACGTCCCTTATCTCATTAAGTCCTCACTGCTACCCTGTGTGTGTGCCCATTTCGCAGATGGGGTAAATTAAGACTCGGAAAATTACCGAACTTGCCCAAGATTGCTCAGCTTGGCAGAGACTTGAACCCGGCCTCTCTGTCCGCCCTGTCCGCCACCGGGTGGTTTCCAACCCTTGCACTGCTACACCGGAGTTCACAGGTGAACTGCCAAATGTCAATCCTGTGTAGTGTTTCTTTTTGCTAAAACACCTCTCTAAAAGATACTCAGAGTTTCAGAAATGTCTGCCAGAAAGAATGGTGAGCCAAGCTGGTTATTAGGATAACAACTTGTCCCCAGTAAGAGGTGAGGAGGGAACGGTAGCATCAAACAAGGAGTGTGCAGCCTCCCCGGAAAGTAAGAGGATCCAGGCAAAAGCTGACACATGTTGAAAGTGACCAAGAGAAAGGAATGGTCACTATGGATATGTCATGGGCCCTGTTACACTGTAGGAAGGACTGATTTAAGTGGTACTGACTCACTGATGTGGTTTCGAGTTTCTAAATCCCTTCACACTTTCTTCCCCAAATGCTAATGATTTTAAAAGTATCAGGAGAAAAGCTGGGCGTGATGGCTCATACCTGAAATCTCAGCACTTTGGGAGGCTGAAGTGGGAGATCACTTGAGTACAGGAGTTTGAGACCAGCCTGGGCAGCACAGACCTCAACTCTACCAAAAAAAAAAAAAAAAAGTATCAGGAGAACATAAAGCACCCCAGGCTCTGCACCTTTTAAAGCTCTTCCTTTTCAACTATGTGCCAAGCACCGTGGTGAATGCTTTATAAAAGTCTCCTTATTTATTCCTTATCACAAGCCATAGACAGAGAAATTTTTGTCACCATGGATGTGACCCTGAACTCCCTTTCCATTGGCTTCCCTCTTGAAGGGGGTGTAAGGAGGGGCATTGCGGAAACAATTCCCTAGGGCAGGCTCTAAGAATGAACATACCACTTTGCCCCTGGGAGATGCTATGTGACTATTTGATAAGTAAATAATGAATGAATGATTCTGGGGCCCATATGGGCAATGGGCTGCATTTCAGAAAGGCAACCAGGTCTCCTTTTCTGATCACAGAATTCCCCCAATTGATGTAAGATCAAACCAGGTCACCAGCTGAGCTCCTCTCAGGGTCATCAACAATAATGGCTGAGATTTATTCTGGGCCCCTAAACAAAACATGACAGAAGACATCTTCAGATGTACCTTCAGGGGCCACTACATCCTCCTCCCCCTCCCCAACTCCCCCCCCCCATCCATTAGGGGCTGCCTGGAGGCTGCAAACTGGGACCCAGCCTCTGGTTTCCCCTCCTATACTAAATAAAAGTTATCCCTCCGGAGATATTTTCTTTGAATCCTTCTCTTAGAAAGGCCCATTTCCTGCTAATCATGTTCACTTAAAGACTTCTAAATGGAAAGACAGAAATAAACATATCCCAGTACATTAAAATAGTAATCCTCCATGATCAACTAAGGTTATTCCCAGGAATTATGATTTTTAAAATATATTGAAAAGGGAAGGAAGGGTTCTGGGTTAAGGTGGTGATTAGATGCATACATCTAATTTCCCTCCGTCCCAAAACCCCACTAAAATTTCAGTAAAGAGATTTGCAAATCGAGGATGAAACTGATGTGGATTTTTCAGGTCAGCCTGGGTTTTGAGAGTGTAAGCTCAATGGGTCTTCCAGCCAAGCTCCAGAAAGGGTCGTCAAGGGGCTGGTAAGCCTAACCCTGGAAGTGTTAGCTCTGATAGGCCAGCAATCCAAGCCCTGAGAGTGTGGCTGGTTTGGTGGGGGGTAAGCCTAGCCCCCCGAAGTGTCTCAGCTTCAGAGTTTCTCCTGGTTCGACGGGCTCTGTCAGCCAGTAAGCCAGCCTCTGGGGTGCACAGCTTTTCGATTCCAACGATTTTCTGCAGCTCTTCAGGGTCGAGGTTCTTGTCACATGCCCAGGAAGAATGAGGGACAAGGACTGCCGTAAAGTGAGAAAGCAGGATTTATTGAAGACAGAAAAGCTCCCACAGCAGCCCCCATATGGGGCCTGAAAGCCTGGTGCTTATATAGCCCTAAGTCCAAGCCGATTGGCTAGCACTAGCTGTGAGCTCTGATGCGTCAGTATTAAGGACCAATCGGCAGGAGATAGAGGCCTAATGGTGAACCGATTGGTTGCTTTTTGATCCCAACAGTTGAATACTTGAGCTCTAGCTTGAGAGGCTTTCAGGGAATTTGTTTACCAATGCTGCGCCTGAGAGGCCTGCCGGGAGTTCACTACATCGTGACCAGAGGACCCGCCTGTCTGTCTGCCTAGCTTTTTTCTAGCTATCTCCTGTCTCGAAAAGACCAGGAAAGGAGACAACAGCAACAGAATTTTTGAGACAGGATGGCAGGCAGTCATGCGTTTACTGACTTATCAGCCCTGAGGAAAAAGACATCTCAAACTGGCAGCAGGGAAAACTGACAGCCAACTCCATTTACATCACAAGGTTCTCACAAGGCTTGAAACTGGCAGTCCAAGGTACCTCTGAACTGTGGGAAAGGACTGGGCTGACATGCAGTTAGATCCCCAGACCTCTTCCCTAACTCCAAACCACTGGGCAACAGTCCTTCTCAATACCTGCCAGAGTATGGAGGATGCTCCTCTGAAGAAAGTATAATGTCTAGACTGGGAAAGCTTCAGGCACAGTTGTGAACAGACACCCTACTGAAAATACTGAAAACAAGAGGATTAAAGGACATGTACATGGAATGCCAAATGCAGAGACCCTGAGCCTTCCCCGACTGTCTCTCAAAATGGTGGGAGCAGGACCTTTGCTGCCCAGGTTGGGGACCGAAAGACTCTATCTGGGACCTTTCACCAGCCCAGGAAGAAAGATCTAAACATATGGACATAGGGGATTCTCCAGAATCAGCTCCATTAGATCACTCTATTGCGGCAAATCCAACCTGTGAGCTCAGAGTTTCTGACCAACCTCCCATTCCTACATCCCAATCTTAATCATGACCAAAGATGACCAGACATCCAAGACATTTTCTAACATGGAAGAGAGAAAACAATCAGAAAAACTAACTTGGAGGAAACATGTTGTACAGAGAAGCCATCAGAAAGATCAATGTCAATATCCTCAGGAAAGTATATGATCATTTTAATGATATTCAATAGGCATACTTAAAAATTAATAATGTGAGGTCATTTCCTTAATTGATAAAAATCTTATTTCAAAAGAAAAGCTAAGCCCTTACTTAACAGTTAAATACAAGGGAATTCCAATTCAATTAGAAATGGACATTTTGCCACCAGTGCTGACATTGAACTTTGGTTTACAAGTTGTAGCCAATGCAATAAGATCAGAAGTAAAATGAGGAGAAGGGTAAAGAGAATAGGAGGAGAAGAGAAGATTAAGGAGGAGGAGGAAAAATGATAAGTATGACATATTGGAAAATAATAAAGAAAAAGCCAAAATATCATTTTATGAAACATCTAGAAAACCATTAGAAAATATGTGATTAGATTAAAGCTAAATATCCTCCATCAATAGCTTTTCTATATAAGAAATGGGAGAAAAAAACTCCCATTCCACATAGGCAAAATGCATTAAAGAAAGAAACACATTTATCAAGAAATGAACAAAAATTTACGTGAAGAAAACTATAAAACTTTATTGAGCTAGATAAAAGAGGCCTCAATAAATAAATGGAGAAACAACTCTTGTTTCTGGGTAAAGCCCCTCAATATTTTATAAGATCATTAATTCTCTACAACTTGGTTTATATTTTTAGTACTACTTCAATTAAAATATCAAATTTTGAGGCCAGATGCAGTGGCACATGTCTGTAATCCCAGCACTTTGGGAGGCCAAGGAGAGAGCCAGGAATTTGAGACTAGTCTGCCTGGAATACAGTGAGACCTGGTCTCTAAAAATATATATATATATCATTTTTTTAAACATTGGAAATGATTATTTTAAAGCCCATTTGGAAGAAAAATGGGTAAAAATTCTTTAAAAACTCTTTTTGAAAAAGAAGAGTAGCAAATGAGATGGATGGCAGAAACTTGCTCCTTTGGAGGGTAAATATTCACTAATTTACATACACGGTCCAACAATTAAGTTCGCGAACCTACCCCAACGACCACCTTTGAAGTCCTCCCCTTGGGAAACTGTGTATTGATGCCAGCACCTAGTCCACCCATCAAAGCAATTTTAGAACTCTTTTTGGAATGGCCATCAGAGCTGTTGTCTTATTACTCTGGTGTCCTGAATGTCCTCAAAATGTCTTCCTTTCCATATTTTCTTTCTCTTCAGGTAAAGAAAAAAGTCACTGGGAGCCAGATCAGGTGAGTAGGGAGTTTGTTCCAATACAATTATTTTTACAGCACTGCCAACCTACACGCACGGTGACAAGTTTGCAAACTTAATTGTCAGCCCTCAACAAATAACAATGACAGCTCTGATGACCATTCCAGAAAAAGAGTTCCAAGATGCTATGACGGGTGGACTAGGTGCCGGTGTTGGTGCATAGCTTCCCAAGGGGGGTACTTCAAAGGTGACCA